TGGGCTTCGTAGCCAGAGCTTCGCCTGGGGCTCGTTTTTGGGCGTGTGAACAGAAAAACAGAGAGTGAGAGCACGTAGGAGGTAAGAGAGATTAGATGGCTTTGGTGGTCAGCAAGCGGTAGGTGCTGCCGTGGACTCTGGTGAGCAGCCAAGGCTGGCTCTTCCTTGACTCCGTAGGTGTGTGCCTGTGCAGGAGTTTCCCTCTGAGCATCAGGAAAACCCTTTTTCACTGTGAGGGTGACCAAGCACTGGCCAAGGGCAGGTGTGGAGGCTCCCTCCGTGGAGACAATGAAAACCCATCTGGACATGGTCCTTGGCAGCCTGCTTCTAGGTAGTTCTGCCTGAGGAGCAGGAGTTTGGACCAGATGACCTCCAGAAGTCCCTGCCAACCTCAGGCTTCTGTGAGACTGTGATTACTGGCTTACTATAGAAAATCAGGTCTCAATGGTTTTTTTCCTCTACTTTTTATTTTTTTATTAGTTTTTTTTTCCTCTTTTCTTTTCTTTTCTTTTCTTTGACTGCTTCCCAAGGGCACGTGCACATACACAGATATTCCTTCCTCTTGGTTTTTCTGTTCTCTGCCTTATCCTGAAATCCCAAATTTTCGCCTTTATTTTCAGTCTCTTGGCTAGAGCTGCATTTTTGAATCATTACTGAAAGTGCATGACCAGCATAGTAATTCTGAACACACATTCTAAAGCACATTCTGCAGTCTGTCCCTGGTCCTGATACAAGTTTAGTGTTGGAGCAGTGACGGTGCTGTACTCTGTGTTTCTCCAGAAATGAAGTTCTAAGTGTAGTTTGATCCTCAAAGGAGCCTTGAGTCACAGCAATCCCATTCCTCTATTGTTGAATTTTAATTTATTTTTTTCTAATACAGGAAAATTCACATTATAGGAGGAGAAGGACACCCGCCAGATACTCTTATTTTCATCTAAAACTTTATTTAAAAACAAAAAACCTAGAGGGGTAAATGATGCCATTACGTTGATTCCTTGTCAACATATCTAGCTTTGACGTTGGCATGTGTGGTGTGACTGTTATGAAATACATGTTTTACAAATTTATGTTGTGGTAAGTTTGAGGAGAAAAATAAATTTTCAACTATCTAATGATACCTGTTAAAGTAGTAGTTCTTCCTTGAAGCCATGGTTAGTGTCTGAGCTCCAGTCTTTCACTTGGTGTTGCCATCCGGTGTAAGCTTCTCATAGACACACAGTGCTCATCCATTTAGTCTTCCGAGTCCGTCAGTTCTCCAGCAGCCCAGCTACTGCTGAGTAGGACAGGAGGGAGTTTGAGCACAAGCACTGTTGGCCCCCATGTGCACGCATTCATTCACATGCTGCTTCTGTGAACTGATGTTTTTGTTATTATTTCTTTCAGGTCCTTGTAACTGAACACGATCAGACCATGCCTCTTCCAGAAACCATGTTCTGTGCTCAGCAGATCAAAATCCCCCCTGAGCTACCTGATATTCTGAAGCAATTTACGAAAGCTGCTATTAGGACTCAGCCTCATGATATTGTGCAGTGGGCAGCTGCGTAAGTATGATGGCACTGTGCCTATGCCCCCACAAACTCTCACTGCTCCTCTTTGTTGGACAGTGTAGCTGGCTTTGAATATTAAACCCACCTCTGTATTGCTTAACATGCGTCTGTGCATTAATGCAGCACGTGAGCCTTTTACAAATAGTCTAGTACTTGATTTGGTTTCTGTTTCATTGAGGTTCAGGACTGGCGTATTTCTGGAACAGTTTGATTTCTGTACAGAAAAATGCATAATTTTTTTGTTACTAATTTCTCTGTCCTGAAAACCAAACCTTTTTTTTTTTTTTTTTTTTTTTCCCTCCCTCCTCCTCTCATGTGAGACTTAATAATTGAAATGTAAAGGAAACCTAGAAAATAGTTTTCTAATTATTAAGCGTGTTTAGGTTTCTTTTTTTTGCTTGTTTGTTTCCAGGAGCAAAATAAGTTAAGGTGTCTCCTTAAATATTATTGAATTAGGGAA